GGGGTCAAAGTAGTTAGTTCCTGAAGATCCCAGAATATGATGCTTTTGGAGGGAAATTTGCAATAATGAAGGAGATGGGGTACCCCCTCCCACCTTGCTTCGCGCTACTGTTTAGGACCTCAATTAATTTACCCGGGTGTCATGATGCAGCTTATTTTCGGTGGAACCTGGCAGCGCCGCCCGAACGAATGTAAACAACACAAACCTGGACGACGGCTCCAGCTGGAGGAACCACTGCGTCAAAAATCCGATGGCGTTTTCGATCTGGTCGGGCGTGATGGTCTGGATTTTGATGCCGACATTCTTGTCGAGTTGCTTATTCTCGACCTGGAACGAGCCCCAATCGTTCTTCGGTGTGATCTCTGCGGCCGGGCGCCATTTGAACAAATTATCCAGAAGCTCCATGTCAAACACTCGATGAATCAACGAATACCGGTATCCAGTTAAGTTCGAATCCACGTGATAACTGAAATCTCGGCGTAAAGAGGTCACGCAACACGAGACGCGATAGCAGGACTGACACACTGACGACCACGCTGTCGGCGGGCCGCGGAGTGCGGTCAATTGGGGAACTAAATCCGGCGGGAGACGAACCGGCTCGCTCGGGATGCGACGGAGCTTGGAGCTTCGGCCCCCGTTGCCTGGTCCATCGCCCCCTCTCGTTCCGACGGTTTAAGTCGGGTGGTTTTACCGCGAGAACTGGCCTCCGTGTCGGGAGCACGCGTTTGGAACTATCGTTGTGGTACGAACGACTCTCAAGGTCGTCCGTCAAGTCGTTTGCCATTTCGCGACGCCGAGTTCATTATTCATCCCGCGCTCATCCTCAGACGCCGCACAAGAGATCGGGTCCGTGGGGGAGGTCGGACAAAATTCGGAAACTTTAAAAGCTCATAACTCCGTTCATACGCAACTTTGAGGCTTTGAAAGTGTGTCCATTGGTTTCCTCGTGAGATTTTCCTTCAGACGCACCCCTTGAAATTTAAATGTGACGAATTGGAAATGAAAATTTGCAGTTTGAGTGAAAAATTTCATGTGCGACGTCTCTGATTGAATCGAACCACTGTGAGCCGGCCACGCCGTGCCGTATAGTATCGTCGCCCCCTGACGTAAGGACGTATCTCGATTTCCACATGAACCACAGAATGCATGTATCTATACGTAAAACAGGGCTCACGTGGAAATTGACTTGCGCCCTTACGTTGGAGGAGCGACGATGTGTCCGGCGATCACCCAGCGCTGCCGCTCCAGTTTCGCCAAGTCGGCTTTTAAATGAAGCACCCTGCTAACCCTGAGCTCTTAGACCCCTTCCGTCTAAGACTTAGACGGAACCGGGGGAGAGTAGGTAGCGTAGGCGGATCCAGACACCTCGGCCNGGGGGGGGGGGGGGGGGGGTTAAGGAGAATCTGGGGGCTTCCCTCAGAAAATGTTTGAATTTCTGAAGCATCTCGTGTAGTTTGAGTCAATTTCGTCAGGAAATGATCAAAAAGTATCTTTCCTTCCTCTTTCCTCCGTTCCTTCCGTCTTTCTTCCTTTTTTTTCTTCCTCGTTTTATTCGGGCGAACGGGACAGGGCGTACGCCCCCTAAGCCCCCCCTCCCCCTGGGGCAGCGGTAGGGAAAAGCCTGCCACTAATTCCCCCCCTCCGAAACTTACTTGATCCTTCCCGAGGAATGCGAGGGATTCTCGTAAATATGTTCGCGATGTATCTCACATCTTTCTATGCAATTTTCGGTGAGAGAAAGCTCTTAAGACGACTCAATTTTTCAAAATGTGTTCGGAGAGGCTCCCATAGGAGTTAGAAATATCCCCGAACGATGTTAGTGGTTACCAGATTCCGAAACATGCATTATCCCAAAGAAACCTCATAACCAGTACTAAGTTACCGTCAAAGTTGTTCATGCACGCTGTGTTAACCAGAGCCGCGTAGTCGATAGAAAGCAGTATAAGTTCTATCTATAAAATTGTAGGGCCCGTCTTACTCTAAAATGTAAAGCCACAAGAAGAACTTGTATCGCACAAAGCCTGAGGCACCAAGTGGTCAGGGGGAGTAGCCCCCTAGTCCATTCGAAACATGATCCGGCAATGTCGGTAGCCAAGCACTGTAACGTAACACTCATTAGTCAACTCTGAATACCTAAAAATCGCACGATCATCAAGGAGCTTCTCTGAAACACAATGGAAAGAAAAAGAAGACTAGAAAACCAGAGTAAATGACCATTCGTGCGCACTTAATGCTCGCAATTTTTGAGGGAGAAGCGGGTCGTCGTCCTCTTTGTAAAACGAATTTGACCGGAACTTTGATTTCTACAAAGGCATTTTTTTTTTCATGCAAACTTCAATGTGTTTGTTTCACCCGTTTTCATGAAGAGAAATGTCACAGCCACAATAGTGACAATCATATTTGTTTTATTCGTTGTTGTCCTTCAAACTAGAGGTGTCTGCAACTAGTGTACACTGGAAAAAAAAAAAAAAAAAAAAAAAAAAAAAAAAAAAAAAAAAAAAAAAAAAAAAAAAAAAACACATTGGATCTAGAGTTCAGACTCTTGAAAACATTGACAAGAAAAAGGACCCTCGATTTAAGCAGATTTAAGCTTAAATCAAAAGGAAATCCGCTCAAATTAAGAGGCTTGGTTCTTGATTTAAGCTTAAATCTGATTGAATCAAGAGTATTTTTTCTTGTCGATGTTTTTAAGAGTCTGGACTCTAGATCCAGTGTGTTTTTTTCCAGTGTATGATGTCCAATGGCTTTAGGATGTCTTTAAAAAGAGGTATTATGATATATACGTCCCCGTGACCATGTGCTATGGTAGATCACCGCAGGATTTCTACCACCAGCAAAACTCAGGGAATTTGACGTTGACTCTGTAACTTTTGGTTTGTCAAGTGGAGAGTATTTATACTTTTTTAAAACATTAATTTAAGCCTAATATTGTTTTAGAATAGGGTTGCGTTATAGTGGAATAAGACAAAAAATTTAAAAGGCAGAGGTAGCCTTTATAAGTCGTCAGCTATCGAAACACCGGGAGAAGTGATTATGTGTTATAATACTGTGATGCATGAGTTATGAAGAGGTATTTTATGCAACACAGGGAATTTGGAAGTCGAAATTAAGTAGAAATCCTGCCTGCGCTAGGAAATTTCTGCTGCCAAGCCTTATGCATTAATTATCATCATCAGAGGTTTCCGCAAAAATTGTCTTGGGCAGAGGGTCATAATTTTTTTTTTTTTCCTAGATTGAAAAAATCCTCAGTGTAATTTCTTGAGAACTGCCGCGCTATTTATTCTCTGTAGAAACTATTCTGTGCAAATTTCGAGGATTAATGTTGGTTCGTTCTCCTTTGCTAAAATAAAATGGAAGCTAGAATTCTGGAGCACTGCAAACGAGATATTTTTGCAGTTCCGTCATTATCATACTACTACTAATTAGCAAGAACACCGCACCACGCCGGTCAATATGAAAAAAAAGAACACCATTCATCGCTGCGTGTCGATTAATCATTAAATCATCGCAATCGATCCATAAGTATCTCTGGTCACTAATGACCTAGCTGCCGTCCTTCAGTAACATACTTGAAACAAATCACTAAAATCTTGCAAAAGTGTAAACATTTCCAAATCATTAAGTAATATCTCACTCAAATATTTTTGTTGAATATCATCATGTTGGGAAGACAGCGTATGCGATTTCATCGCGTGAGGACGGTCTCATCAGGAAAATCGCCTTCAGTTTCGAAGGACGCAGCAGATACTACACGTGTTGTCCCGATTGTGTGTGTGTCTATTTGAAGGCGCTTTATATAGTCTCTTCAATGCGTAAACGGCTCACTTGCAAGGCATCTTTATTTCCATCTTCCTGTTGCACAAAAGTTTGACTATCGTAATTCATTTATGCCACGGAATTAGTGACATTTGTTCAAAATCGCATGGTTACCTTAGGCCACTCTTTTAAATCCCAAAATTACGTAGACTTGGGAGAGGGTGGTAAATTTTTTGTGCGCTTTATCCATTCATTTCTGATGACAAAAAACGTAAAATCATGGAACAAAATAGTCATATATTGGTCTGGAGAATTGATCCCTAAAGTTTCCGATGTTCGATTTGGGACACTCTGCATTTTTTGAACTTCAAAAATTTGTTTATGCAAATCACAACCTTCGAAAGGAGTCGCTTTTTCCGGCAAAATCATAAGACGTATCTAAATCACGGGTTATTTCATCACAGCCAAATTCCCGATTTGCTTCACGGAAAATTGTCTGATTTTGTGACAAAATGCTTAATTTCACGGTAAAACCTGCAATTTTCCTCGCTTATCAAAAACATTCGTTCAAAAGAAAAAACAAAAAAAACTTAAATAAATAAAAATTAAGAAACAAAATACAAGAGTCATCACTTCGAAAGTTGCCTCACGACTCTTGAATCCTTGATTTACCCCGCGTTTATGGGTATTTTGTGCACTTGTGAACGTGATTTCACAAGAATTTCTCGGCGACTTTAACGAGGAACTATTTTCATTCGATTAATTTTTCCGCGGTAAACTGTACGAGTGTTCTTCAGCGGGGGCTTTGAAATTGGTTTAGCGGTTGCGGCGCGCATTTCGCGAGGTAATGTTTTGCAGGGGAAGGAGAAAAATAGACCGGGAATGCAAAAGACCCGGCGAGCGGGTTGCATAAATTATAATATCCGTAGGTATTTTGGAGAGAACTAATGACTCGAGTTTTAAACTGCTCTAAGTCTGAATATTTGCTTTGTTCACGGTGTGCGACTTTGAAAGCGCGATGCAAACGGAGTTGAATCGCTTTAATATGCAAGGTCGGCAAGTCGCCCCGCTCGGGAGAACTCTTAGTTTACCTGTGCAATGCATCCAGGGTACGGAACCAAACTTGGCGCTTTAATAAGCCATTCATTAAAGTTTGCAACTTCCTAATTCTTAAATGGCACAAAATAAAATTTTTGTTCAGTCGAGCGTAAACCGCGGTGCACCTCCGCGCACATGCTCCTGAATTTTCTTCCTCGCTACTTTCGAACTTGTCGCGGGCGAAATTTTGCGCTTCTGTTGCGTTTCCGAGTCATAAACCCGGCGGATCCCCCCGAATTCAAATTAGCCCGGCAAATGCAATAAAGATGATTTAAGTTTCGTTTCCCAGCCCCTAAAATTGTGCTCCTCTGCTTTTCCACTCCATTCACCGTTTACCGCAAAGACAAATGTCCACGGCTGATTGGCTGAAACATGTATACGATTTACACTGAAACTTAACAAAAAAAAAAAGAACTTTAGTGGTCACCAGATTTCCCATAAACACTCTAAAAACTTGAAGATAGGAGCTTACAAGTTTTCTAGGAAATTCATGTCTAATCGGAGGAAATTTGGCAACGCTTTACTGCTCACAACGTCTTGATGCAACTATTCGTGCAGTACGGATTGCATAGTGAAAATTGAAGGCGTTTTAGTCATTCTAGCCCATGAAGCAATGCTCGCAGAGACACGCTGTCATGACTAGGTGCGGGGTGTAGCGCGACAGTTGGGAATAATACACTGATAAGTGAAAATGGTACAAAAATATGGTGCAAATGGTGCGAAAAAGGCTTTTTTCTATACTCTTGCCTTAGTTTATATCAGAGATTTTTAGCTAGCCACATTTTGGTATCGGTGCGTACTTA